CTTCGGAATCAGAGCCTCGAATTCCAGGTAAGCAAAAAACCTCAAGTCGAAGATCTGTCGAGCCGCTGCCTTTAACCTTGGTGGCAGACGTCGACTTTCAAAACCAGGGGCTGCTGGATAGCCCCTGGTTTTGAAGTTCCGACATTTTTGTGCTCTGCAAGCTGTATTTTCGGAACCAGCGGAAAGGATAAGTCCAGGTAAGCGAAAAAAATTTAATCGAGATTTTGCCCGGGCACTGCCTTTAAGTTAGCTTCTTTTCAGTGAGAAAAGGTTGAATTTGAGTTACCTCATTATCCCAGCACTTGTCCTTGCAAAATTTTACTCATAGGCAGTCTTCTCATGTTCACTATACCAATTCCGCGCACTAGAAAACTCATAACTCGTTTCGAAATGGTGCGCCGTAGCTAGCAATAGCTCATTCGGGATCAGTATTTGAAAATATTCGGAATATATGCCGCTGGCGAGAAGCGGCGAGCTAAGTTACTCAGCTTCTCTTATTAGATTTGCAGTTCAGAGCGGACCACCGATCGCTCTTTACTACTACGGAGTAACGGTAGGAACTTTAAACAGTTTCCGAAGCTTGCCATATCAAGTCAGATCGAGAACGAAGCAGTCTAAAAACACTTATACTAGATTAACTAAAGTCGCCGGATCTAGAGGTGAGCTTTGCGCATAACTACAAAGTTAATCTCCAATCGTAAGTTATGCCAAGTATAACATAACAATTACTATTTCGCATTTTTTTTCTGTGAACCTGTGGTTATAATGCTGGAAACTTCGATTTGTGAAAGGAGAAGCAGTGAAGTCAACATGCATAAGAATTCAGCACTCACTTTTTGGACTTCTTAAAACTTATTTTTGAAGTGCAGCTTAATTGCAATTGCGCAAAAACCTAAATTTACCGTAATTTTACAGTAATGAGTAACAATCGGTGATGATTCATGTGTTGGAAAACTAGGTCTAAGCTCTACAAAATGGTGCGTGGAGGTAGGCAAAAGACTTCTTGGGGAAACAGTAGCAGCGATTGAACAGTGTATACAGATTTTTAAAACACCCCTGTAGTCTATACATTGGGTCGGTCCAGAGGTTCGTTACGTTTTCCAGGCCCATACTCAGACCACTTGGAATAAAGATAGACGAACGCTCCTGAATACTCGTTTTATTGCATTTGGTCACCATAAGTTGTTTTCTAAAGCTTCAAATTTTGAAGGTTAATTGTCTGAAGCAATTATGTATCTCATGACTTTCGAAAAATAATTGAGAAACACTAAAAGGCTAGTTGAAGAACAAACTACATTTGTACCTCATTTTGTTTATTCTATCCAACTTTACCATAACCAATCTAAAAGTTGAAAATGAAACTCAAAAAAAACACAAATAGCCAAACTCAAGAGGGGTAAATACCCATGGGTATTTTGACGATTATTTGCGCGGACTCAAGAAATCTGAGAACATAATTGTTGCAAAGAGGAAAAATTCTGCATCGATATTTAGAGCATTTGTCTATATTCATTCTAAATGGTTTGAGCATGAGTCTGAAGAAAAAAAATCGCATGAACTTTCGGACCGACCTAATATATTCTTGAAACAAGCACGGGCCTAATCCTTAGCCGATGCAAACTGGAGACATCCTAGAATTCTAGAAATTTTGCATTTTTCAAGTTACATGATTAGATCCTACTGGTCGTTTACCTATAAGATTAAAATGATGACTGTGTCTTTTCCTATTATCCTTCCTTACTCTTCTTTTATCAAAAACAAGATTCTTTTCAAACAACCCAAGTATTGTTGAATACATGCAGGTCTTACGTTATCGATGTGAGAACTAATTTCGGCTGTCTCTCGTCCACCAAGTCCAAAATAGATGAAATGTCAAGAACTTTTGATTTCTCATATCTCTTTTATTTGGACACCATAAGTTCACGCATTTCCCCATATATTTAGCTTTTTTATTGGCTTTTCATTTGTCACTATGTTGTCAGAGTATAAAAATCATGGCAGTTATTCAAACTTTTGGGACTTGAAACAAAGTCAATGATTCTTTAAAATAAGCCATCTGGATCGAGATTTCATTTGATAAAAAATCAGCTCAAGTGTGCATCGATAACATTTATCAGCATTTTCTATTTCTTATTCAACAACTACTCAAATGACTAATGACGAATATACACACAAGTTTTTTTCCACCTAAAAGTCGGTTCAGACCTTATAGTTTTTTTTGCTTTGAATTTCATCAAAAACCTTTGACAAAGA